CTCATATTCGGTCCCCGCTCGTTCCGAATCGTGCTCCCGTTGCAGCGCTGGCCTCATTTCCGTGTTTCCGCTCATTCCGAATCGTGCTCCCGCTGCAGCGTTGGCCTCATTTTCGCGCTTCCGCTGGTTTCGAATAGTGCTCCCGCTGCAGCGTTGGCGTCATTTCCCGTGCCATGCCACGGCATGCAATGCAATGCTAGGTTGATGCTACGCTTTGCGGTGCTCTTTTACGCCATGGCACGCCGTGCTCTACAATGCATCGCGTATCCTTTCGGGATCATTGCCCTGCTCGACATCCGCCTTTGCGAGCAGAGAGGGGATCTGCGCCATGGTAAGGGATGGGAAGGGGGGTAGGATGTCAGATATGACGCGAGCGCACCTAGCTTGTCCTCCCCCCTCCTCCTCCTCCTCCTCCTCCTCCTCCTCCTCCTCCTCCTCCTCCACCTCTTCCTACGGACTGTTCCTCTCGACGCTCTGCCTCCTCCTCCTCCTCTCCCTCAGCATCCCTCGTCATCTTCACCCTTTTTTTTGCAACCTTCCTGTTTTTCCCTTCCTTCCCCATCACCTCCCCCATGCCTGCCTTCGCCTTCCCCTCTGCTTCCCATCCATCTTGTCTTAAGCCCCCCCTCCTGCCAATCCAACCTTCCCCCTCCCATCTCTTCTCCACCCAGCCCTCCCCTCTGCTCACCTATTCGCGCCCCATGCCCCAGCTGCCTCTTCCGAACGCTTCCAATAACACCTTCTATCCTTACTCACCTTGCATCCTTGTAATCCTCACCCCCTCCTCTTTCCCGCCTTCACGCCCACCTCATTTTATTTCCGTAAGTTCCGTCATTCCGCTCCTCTCTTCTCCGTTTCTTTGTTATTATCATGTTTTCTTCCGCGTCTTTTTCTCCTTTAGTTCTCCACCTCGTCGTGTTCCTCCTCGTCCTGCTCCTCCTCCCCCTCCCCTTCTCTGTCCCCGCCACCCCGCTCCTGAGGAGAGTCTCATCCTCCCCTTGTCATCCCTCCGCCGCTCTAACTTCATACTGCCTCACTCCTCCACACATGCATCCTCCTCCCCCTCCAGCCTCCATCCTCTTTCCCCGCTATATGTTCGGTCTCGCCCTTTCCCCCTTTTCATCCTCCATGCCTGCTTTCCCCCACCGGCCTCCCCCATTCCGTTCTGGGGCGGAATCGGAGGAAAGGAAAGCGACACCGCCATCGGTGATCATCATCAGGGGGTCCACTTCCGAGGAGGTCCACGATATCTCCCTGAGCTGTGGGCGGAGGATGTCTCGAGCGGGAATTGGGCCACACCACCAGGAGAACAACAAGGACCGATGCACAACGAATAGCAAAACCATAAAAACGTCCGGAGGTCCGCGTGGATTTCTGGGGTCTTCGTTGGCCCCCCTCGTCCCTGGCGCGCGAAGCGCGCAGGGGGGCGGCGCCCCAGGCGCCGCCATTTGGGCACAGCGCTATCCGAGAAGTCCGCGCGGACCTCCGAAAGTGTTTTGGCGCCTTACCCTACTCGAGAGGCGGTGCTGCCGCGTTTCCTCGTTGCTGGGGCGGGGCGTGCGCGGCCCAGCGCCTCTCTGCGGCCCCCGCCTGCGGCGCGGCGGCGGCAGGCGCGGAAGTATGTGGAGCTGGTGCGCGCGCAGCGCGTCGGGCCGGTGACCCCCAGGGGCGGGGCCCAGCTGGGAGGGGAGCTGCCAAGAAGCCTCCCTGGCCCAAGGTCCCAATGTGGTTCAAAAAGGGGCCCCAGGGAGAGATTTCTGAGACGGGCGATGCCGATGTCTCGCCGCATGACGTTTTTGTTCACTCGCACGCGTCGAAGGCTCGAAGGCAACGCTGCGGTCCCAGAAGTCCCTTTCGCTGGCGTCCCTCTTTAGGACAAGTATTAGATCCGGGTCGGACCCTCACTCGTGTCATGAAGCAACCACGACGGGAGTTGTTCGGCCCTCGCGGGACCACGGGGCCGTCAGAGAACGAGCCAGGATTGAAAGTTGGCCCCTGGGGAGGGGTCCAGGCCTCTGGGGAGCCACGTTCTGGCATTCGCGTCTTGACGCCTCCTGTTGAGTCGTTAGGGGGATAGAAAGTGACATGAACATGAAATCTCGGAGGCCCGCGCGGATTTCTGGGATCGGCGCTGGACCACCCTCCCTGGCGCGCGGAGCGCGCCAGGGGCGGCGCCGGAGGCGCCGCCGGGGGGGCCCAGCGCCGATCCGAGAAATCCGCGCGGACCTCAGAGTTTTTATGTTTATGCCACTTTTGGTTCCCCTAGTCATGCTGTCTGCTCCCATTTTCTTTCCCTTAGAACCACAATCGCGTCGAACGCGAAGGGGGAAGGTTGGTTCAGCTGCGCGCAGCCGGTCTCAGCGCCGCCCGCTGCACGCGTTCCTCGCCACGCTGGCAGCTCTTGCGCCGGGAACAAATCAGCTGCCGGGGCTGATTCGCTGACCCCCGCCCTCTGCGATCACGCCCCGTCGCCCGACCCGAAAGGCGTCCCCCGGCTCCTCGCTTCATCCTGGCGCCCCTGGGGCACTCGGGACCTCGTGACTTGGCATCGCTCGGACGTGTGCGTTTTTTTTCTTCGGCGAGGACCATCGAGGAGCATCCTTGATCATTTGCCGAAAAAACCACGCACGAAACCGAAAAAAACACAGGGAATGGACGTCCGAGCGATGGCCAGGTGATGGGGTGCTCTGGAAGCCGTGGGGGCCTTTGAGATCCCGGGGGCACCTTGGGGCAGGGGCACCTCTGGCATCGCCCGGCCAGGGGGGGGGGGGCGGCGAGGAGAGGGAGTGTATTGTTGTCCAAGGGGCCTACGCTTCAGTCGGGCCTGTCCCTCTACAAGAGGAGTACTCAAACATAGTAAAAACATAGTCAGGAGACGATCTCTTTTATTTGTACATATTTATATCTTACCATTTGGATGATTTGTTGATTATGTCTAATCTTTCATCCGAAATCCGCCTGTAGGAGGACATGCCCGACCTAAGCCTACACCATTCCGCCAAACTCCAGATGGCGTCAGAAGTCCACGGTGAGGTCGTTCGGCACGGGTCTGTGGGAAAAAAACAGTTGTGGGAAAAACACACAACTCTGGGGAATCAAAAACACAACTGTGGGGAAACAAAAACACAACCGTGGGACAAAAACACAACACGGCTGTGTTTTTTTTTGTTTTTTTTTCCCACCGGGCCGTGGAGTTTTGAACAGTTTCTCGATGTTGCCGGTCACGGTCAGGTTCGCAAGGGCGTGGCCGGGGCGACCCGAGAGAGGGCCCCCCTCTGGAGGGGGGACAAGGAGGAGGAAGCTGTTGCGTGGCCTCCTTCCTGCGTTTTGTCCCCCCCCCCCCGTCTACTCCACGGACCTGTCTCTTTTCAGGCAGGCCAATCCATTGCCCACTGTCTGTTGTCGCCCTCCCCTTGGAGCATCACCCTCTTTCTTCAAGCTGTTGCGTGGCCTCCTTCCTGCGTTTTGTCCCCCCCCGTCTACTCCACGGACCTGTCTCTTTTCAGGCAGGCCAATCCATTGCCCACTGTCTGTTGTCGCCCTCCCCTTGGAGCATCACCCTCTTTCTTCAAGCTGTTGCGTGGCCTCCTTCCTGCGGTTTGTCCCCCCCCGTCTACTCCACGGACCTGTCTCTTTTCAGGCAGGCCAATCCATTGCCCACTGTCTGTTGTCGCCCTCCCCTTGGAGCATCACCCTCTTTCTTCAAGCTGTTGCGTGGCCTCCTTCCTGCGTTTTGTCCCCCCCCGTCTACTCCACGGACCTGTCTCTTTTCAGGCAGGCCAATCCATTGCCCACTGTCTGTTGTCGCCCTCCCCTTGGAGCATCACCCTCTTTCTTCAAGCTGTTGCGTGGCCTCCTTCCTGCGTTTTGTCCCCCCCCGTCTACTCCACGGACCTGTCTCTTTTCAGGCAGGCCAATCCATTGCCCACTGTTCTGTTGTCGCCCTCGACCTTGGAGCATACACCCGCTTTTCTTCGAAGACTGTTGCGTGCCACCTTCTGCGTTTTGTCCCCCCCCGTCTACTCCACGGACCTGTCTCTTTTCAGGCAGGCCAATCCATTGCCCACTGTCTGTTGTCGCCCTCCCCTTGGAGCATCACCCTCTTTCTTCAAGCTGTTGCGTGGCTTCCTTCCTGCGTTTTGTCCCCCCCCGTCTACTCCACGGACCTGTCTCTTTTCAGGCAGGCCAATCCATTGCCCACTGTCTGTTGTCGCCCTCCCCTTGGAGCATCACCCTCTTTCTTCAAGCTGTTGCGTGGCCTCCTTCCTGCGTTTTGTCCCCCCCCGTCTACTCCACGGACCTGTCTCTTTTTCAGGCAGGCCAATCCATTGCCCACTGTCTGTTGCCGCCCTCCCCTTGGAGCATCACCCTCTTTCTTCAAGCTGTTGCGTGGCCTCCTTCCTGCGTGTTGTCCCCCCCCGTCTACTCCACGGACCTGTCTCTTTTCAGGCAGGCCAATTTGCCCACTGTCTGTTGTCTCGCCCTCCCCTTGGAGCATCACCCTCTTTCTTCAAGCTGTTGCGTGGCCTCCTTCCTGCGTTTTGTCCCCCCCCCCGTCTACTCCACGGACCTGTCTCTTCTCAGGCAGGCCAATCCACTGCCCACTGTCTGTTGTCGCCCTCCCCTTGGAGCATCGCCCTCTTTCTTCAAGCTGTTGCGTGGCCTCCTTCCTGCGTTTTGTCCCCCCCCGTCTACTCCACGGACCTGTCTCTCTTTTCAGGCAGGCCAATCCATTGCCCACTGTCTGTTGTCGCCCTCCCCTTGGAGCATCACCCTCTTTCTTCAAGCTGTTGCGTGGCCTCCTTCCTGCGTTTGTTCCCCCCCCAGTCTATTCCACTGACCTGTCTCTTTTTCAGGCAGGCCAATCAATTGCCACGTTTGTTGTCGCCCATCCCTCTTTTTGGGGGGGGGAGCATAACCCCTCATTTCTGCAACTGTTGCGTGGCCTCCTTCTGCGTTTTGTCCCCCCCCGTCTACTCCACGGACCTGTCTCTCTTTTCAGGCAGGCCAATCCATTGCCCACTGTCTCTTGTCGCCCTCCCCCTGGAGCATCACCCTCTTTCTTCTCTCGTCTCCTTCCATCCTCCTCCACACCCCAGCATTCGCGAGGGTGCTCGCGCGAGGTGAGGTTGGGGAGGGAGGGAGGGAGGGAGGGAGGGAGAGGAGGAGGAGGAGGAGGAGGAGGGGGAGGGGGAGGAGGATCTCCAGACGGGACTTGGCTATCCATAGTCCATGGGTATTGCCAGGACTACGGTTGCCGTTGTTTTGCTTCGCCTGGGGGGGCAGTCAGCTGAGTCGTGTCTCACGCACACCCTCATTGGACATCGCACTCCCTGCGTGCCCGCAGGTGTGCAGTTGTCGCTACTCTGCTGCGCCCTTGGGGAGGTCCAACGGAGCAATGTCCCACACTGACCCAAACGTCCTGCGCCCCTTCGCCCCAGTCTTCATCCTCATTATATTCCCTCTCGTCCTCGTCCTCCCCTTCCTCCCCTGTCCTCCCCCTCCCCTGCCCTCCCCTGTCCTCTCCCTCCTCCCCTCTGCTCGCGCCCTCGACGCCTCGAGTGGCCGGGCGCTGAAGTGCCGCCACTCCCTGCTTTACCGCGGCGCTCCGTGCAGCAGCTTCCGATTCAGCCTCACGAACACATCCTGTCGCCCTTGATGTTTCCACGCGCATCACCACCCACCACACCGCCCCAACCCAACCCGAAGGCTTCAGTTTGCCCTCCATTTCCAGTGGCGGGGGTGGTCGGGGAACATCGAAAAAACACAGATATGGAGCCCATACACCCCCCGACCCGAAATTCGGGTCTTCGGGTTCGGTTGGGGTGGTCTAGTGGGTAGTCAGCGCATCGGACGGGTCGGGTGCGTCAGTCCCTGGGTCGTTCCGCCCCCCCCTTGTGAGACCTGTGGGGAGGCGGGGGGCCCTCGCCTCCACGACCGGATTCGTCTCGTGGGGCTCCATTCGGGAGCTTCGAGACGGGGGTCAAAGCAAACGGGGGTCAGCCTGGGCACCAGATCCTGCAGGATCCTGCGAAGATCCCCTCTGGCTGACCCCGGTTAGCGAGCCGCTCGTGCCCGCGAGGCGGCCGCGCATATTGGCTGACCCGGGTTTGCGAAGACCTGCGTTGCAGTTTTTTTTCCTGCATTGCAGTTTCTTTGTTTCTGGCTGACCCGGGTCTGGATTGACCCCGGTCAGAAGATCCCCGATCGATGTTACACCACGTTGCTTGGTTTGCAAAAAAGCCAAGGCATTCGGCGAAGAAGTCCGGTATGTATAGACGCTCCAGCGCCCCAGAGGTTGGGAAGTTGGAGCGTTTGTACACCGCGGATGGGGCGACCCACGCGACGTCGTGTATACGTCGAGCCCCTCCTGGTTCGCCTCGAAGTCCCAGTCAGAACGCGCTCCGAGACAAGTCAAGAGCAGGGGTCGACCTGAGCGGTGCGTTGGCGATTTCGTGGGCCGTGTTCGTTTCGGTTCCGGTTCGCAACAAAGGCGGGATTCGGCCGGATGGCGATGGGGGGATCAGGACATGGGGGGATGAGTATCCGGTACCGTCTTGTTGGGGTACAATTTGTACCTTCTCTGCGGGTTGCAAGTACAAATTGTACCTTCTTCCCCCCCGTTAACATCCTCGCACATGTCGCGGACGTTGTCAAAAGTACAATGTGTACCTTGTCTGCGTGGCGTCGGTACAAATTGTACCTTCTCCGTGGGGCGTAGGTGCAATTTGTACCTCGGTTGCGCCTCTCTTTCCCCATCTGGACTTATCCCCCCATTTGCATCCCGCCAAGGGATGAGGATAGAACGAGGGGAAACGGAACTGGAACGAGAACAAAACGCACTGTTTGGGTCGGTCCCTGGTCAGGAGGGAGAGAAGGGCGGAGGGCGCCGTTGCCAGTCGTGGTCGTGGCCGCACGTGCGCGGCGGCGGCCAGTGGACAGGCGACGGACCGCGCCCACGGGGCGCCCGCGGGCGGTGCCAGCACGGGCGAGGAGGAAGCGCGGGGGGAGGAGGAGGAGGAGGAGGAGGAGGAGGAGGAGGATGAGGAGGAGGAGGAGGAGGAGAAGGAGGAGGAGGAGGAGCAGGAGGGGAGGAGGAGGAGGAGGAGGAGGAGGAGGAGGAGGAGGAGGAGGAGGAGGAGGAGGAGAGGAGGAGGAGGAGGAGGAGGAGGAGGAGGAGGAGGAGGAGGAGGAGGAGGAGGAGGGGAGGAGGAGGAGGAGGAGGAGGAGGAGGAGGAGGAGGAGGAGGAGGGAGGAGAGGAGGAGGAGGAGGAGGAGGAGGAGGAGGAGGCGGAGAGTGGCGAGGTGGAGGGAGGAGGGCAGTGTGAGGGAGGAAGGGGGTGGAGGATGGTGGGGAGGACAGGAGGGGGTGGAGGGTGGGAGGGTAATGGGGGAGAGGGTCGGAAGAGGACCAGGGGAATGCAAGTTAACAACCAGGAAGGGGATGACGAGGAGCACGAGGAGGAGGAGGAGCAGGAGGAGGAGGATGAGGAGGAGGAGGAGGAGGAGGAGTAGGACGGCTTCTAGGACCCGGGGCACGAGGAGGACGGAAGAGTTGGAGGAGAGGGGAAGGGAGCCAAGAGAAGGAGGATGGGATGAGGAGGAAAACGATGAAGACGAGAGCGGGGAAGACGGATGAGGGCGAAGACGAGGAAGAGGAGGAGTAGGAGGGGTCAATGAGGAGGATGGGGACAATGACAGCGAGCAGAACCGAGGGAAGAGGAGGGGGTGGGAATGGGATGTAGAGGGTCACCCTCATCACCATCACAAAGGCACCAAACTATGTGGATGAGGAAGTTGACGATGACGATTGTTACAGCATGTAATAGATACTGTAACACCATACGCATTGTATCAAACTACGTACACACATGTTACATGTGATTGAGTTTTAGGGCGAGGGGGTAGGTAAGGATGGAAGTGGGAGGGTGACCATGTTGAAGATGCTGATACTGTGAAGGAGGAGGAGGAGGAGGAGGCGAAGGTGGGCGTGGGGAGATATGCGGAGGGGGATGCTGGAGCAGGGAGGATGGTGAATGGATGAGGACGAGAAGTAGCATGATGGCTCGGAGGAGTAGGAGTGACACAACGAGATCGGGCGCCATTTGACGTTGCAAGCAGCCGCCAGGTGAACGTGGACGAGTCGCACGACGACGGTGACCTGACAATGATCGCCGTGCCTGGGCCGACCCCCCGCCAATTGTTCGCGTGCCCAACACCTCCGTGGATTCGCCTGGTCATGCGTCCCAGGAGAGGTCTGGGAGTACCGTGCTGAGGGTGGTGAGGGTGGAGGAGAGGAAGAGAAGCGACTCGGAGGACGAGGAGTGCATCGAGCAGGAGGAGCACCTGCCAGACTATTGGGGACGAGATGGAAAGGGGGTGGAGGAGGATGCGATGGAGATGGAAGTGTCAGGAGGGAAACAAACACACAGACACAATTAATCTCCGATTCCCCCGAAAATATCGGAAAATATGGGAAGTGGGGTGGGGGGGCAAAAAGCCAGAAGATATGGGAAAGTATGGGGAATCCTTTTATCTGTGTGTACCTATTTTTGTGCCCCAGGGCCCCTTCAAAGCGGAGGAGCAGGAGGCGAGAGCAGGCGGAGGAGCTCCCCGGGAGGGCCCTGTGGACCATTCCCTCCCTCTTCGCAGGCGTGGTCTGTGGAAGTGATTTGGTCCTCGAGCGCGGTCGCCGTGCCGATTGGGCGCCCGTCTGCGCCCCAGTGCCGTAGGGGTGACTGCAACGTTCAGGAGGGAAAAAAAACACAGTTGGGAGGGGAGCTGCCAAGAAGCCTCCCTGGCCCAAGGTTCCCATGTGGTTCAAAGAGGAGCCCCAGGGAGAGAGAGATGTTTGAGACTGGGCGCTGCCGACGTCTCGCCGCATGACGCTTTTTTTATTCGCACGCTTCGAAGCCTCGAAGGCAACGCTGCGGTCCCAGAAGTCCCTTTCGTTGGCGACCCTCTTTGGGAAAAGTATCAGATCCGGGTCGGACGGCAATCCATCAGGAGGGAAACGAAAACACACAGACACAATTAATCGTCGATTCCCCAGAAAACATGGGAGAATATGGGAAGTGGGGGGGGAAGACAGAAACCCAGAAGATATGGGCAAATATGGGGAGTCCTTTTATCTGTGTGTATGGATTTGTGTGTCCCCTTCAAACGTTCCCCACTGCTTGGGACCTGGACGCCCAGACGCGAGCCAGTCAGTCCTCCAATATTGCGCATGATGCGGCGACAATGCGCATTACATGTTTTGCCCTCGCTGGCGATACCAGAGGTAGGGAGCGAAGAGAGGGTTGCCTTTTTAGTTGTTGTCGGTATCGTTTGTCGCGCTGGTGTGTTGATAGTACTGGCGTCAAGCACCCGTTGTCATTGAGCCAGGCTTGTGTTACGGTCCCTATCGTTTGCCGCTTCGCCTCCTCAGTCCGAGTTCAATGTTTACACCCTGAGTGGATTCGCAGCGTGTTGTTCGCGGCAAGCTGCCCTGCGAGCCAGGTGCCGCACCACTGCGTCGGCTTTGTGACGGGGTCCCAGGGCAACTTCCTCCGCACCTGCGAGGAGGAGTGGGGCACCCTGATGTTCTTCTGCGACTACCAGGGCCCTGCCGGAGACGGCTTCGTGGGATCCGAGAGGAGCGACCTTCTCTTCTCCGCGCCTGCTGCCGGTGTTGCTTACCAGTTTGAAACGTAACCCTATCCCTATGTTTGACATCACCTCACCTCGATGCCGATCTTAAGGATTCCCTCAGCTTTTGAGGGCGTATCCCTAAGATTGTCCTCGCTTCTTGCCCGCCCATCTTAGGGATAGGGATGCGTTTGAGGCTGGTGATTTGCTATCGTTCTCGCTCGTGGCGCACGCTCGCCCTCGCCCGGTGTCAACGATATGCAAGCGCACCGGCCGGTGCATCTTGCTATACAGGGCGGGGCGGACGCGGCGGTTCCCCAAGCAGTGCTTGCACTGAAGGCCTGGCATCGCTCGGACGTGTGCGGTTTTTCCTCGGCGAGGACCATCGAGGAGCATCCTTGAGCGTTTGCCGACAAAAACACGCGCGAAATCGACAAAAACACAGGGAACGGACGTCCGAGCGATGGCGAGGAAGGGGTCCCAGCGGAAGTTGAAAGACTTGGCGAGGGTTCCCGCCGAATTTGGTAGCAGGCTGGGTTCCCAGGTTCCCGATTCCGGGTTCCCGGGTTCCCGGTCATTGGTCCAGGGCCGATTTCGGTAGGTTCTGGGTTCCCGGCTCCCGGGTCCCCGGTCGATCTCCTCAGCGAAAATCATCCTCTGATGGGGGCTTTTCTCTGGTGTACTTATTTTCTTCCGATGTCACTGATCCATGTTATGTTCCCATGCGCCGTTGGAATTCACCCGCATGTCCTGGCCTGCTGTCGCCGTTCTCCATTGTCCTGCTGCCGTCCCTCATCTCGCTCCTCTGCGTCCGTGGCTCCGCCTCCTGTCGTTTCAAATGCCTGACCTTGCGCTCTTGAGTTGTTCTGCTTACTGCCCCTCCTGGCATGCCTCTCCACACCCCCGTGATGCGGAGCAAGGCTGGCGATCTTTGGCAATTTGGCTGGCCGCTGCGGCGCCGAGCTGAAAGTCATGGCCGCCATCGAGACGAAGATCCCCGGGAGGGGAACGGGGGAGTGTGTAGTGCAGTTGCGCAGCAGTGGCGAAGCGTCTTGATTTGCGTATGGTCCCAGCCCGAGAGTATTCTAAGAGCCTCGTACGTCCTGTGCCCCGCTGTATATCTGTATATAGATATATGCACACATACACATAACCACCGTTCCAGGTCTGGGGGGGGGGGGGGGGGGGGGGGGCAAGGCTCATTCCCCCAGGGCGGTGCCAGGGCTCCAGGAGCTCTCTATCCCGCTCCAAGGCGATTCCGATGCCCTCCAGGACGGCCTGGATGGTCCAGGATGGTCTCGAAGGTGCCTCCGACACCGCCCCAGGAGGCCCCCAAGAGGCCCCCACGAGGGCCCCCAAGAGGGCCCCCAGAGGCACACATGGCCCAACTGCCTTCGGAAAACGTGCATATGTTTACCATAGTAGCGTTTTGGGCAATCACGGCGTCCAAGATGGCCCGAGAGGCCCCCAAGATCGTCCCAAGACGGCCCCATAGGCTCCCAAGAGGGCTCCGAAACGGCTCGGACGGACCCCAAGACAGCCCAAGAGGTCCCCAGGACGCCCCAAGAAGGGGGCTAGAGGGGGACTGCCTCCAGGGGTCTCAGACGGCCCAAGAAGCTTTCAAAATTCACCAAAGGGCCCCCAATACGGCCCAAGAAGGCTCCAAGAGGACCCCGACGAGTGCCCCAAAAGGCCAAAAGTACAGATTGTCCGTCGGTTTTGAAGGATTTGGACGTTCTTACCGCTTCGGGCTTCGACGCTCCTAGACGGCTCAAGAGGGGCCCAAGAAAGCCAGAAGAAGGCGTCAGAGATGTCTCGGGAGCCCCAAGACGACCCGAGAGGGCCCCAGGACGACCCAAGAGGCCTCCCCCAAGAGGGACCCATGAGCGGCCCCAGATGGCCCAAAGAGAGGAAGCATGATACCGTAAAAAAAGCCTGCAGCTTGAGCAGGCCCCCAGGAGGCCCAAAGAGGCCCCGACGAGGCGCCTCGACGTTCCCAAGAGGCCGCCAAAAGGCCCCACGAGGCTCCCAAGAGCCCAGAAAGAGGCCCTCAGAAGCCCTAGAACGGCCCCCAAGGGGCTTAACGGAGCCGCCCTCGATGCGGTCCCCGAGTGGCTCTCCACGATATACCAACGAACACTAAATAGGCCTCTGACACACAGCCCAGGCACCGTGGCGGGATGGTCCGAAGGCCAACAATATAATTATACATGCACGGACACATCTATTTACATATAGATATAGCGCATATCAGCATACATACATGCATACAGTCAGGCATGCATACACACATGCATACAGACACAACCATATATACATGCATACATACATACAACAATATGTACATACATACTTACATGCATACATCGACACAATCATACATAGATAACCATGCACATAACAATATACACGCACATGTCATGTGTGTATACACATGTGCACATACATATGTACACAGAAGGTCCCGGCCATAAAGGACACCAGGTAGTGTGGAGCCAGATTCGGGCACCTTGGTTCTCTTTTGATCTCTCTCAGCCCCAGAAAACGCGTCGTAGAAGCCCCCAAACATTCGTTTACGCGATTTCTGGGTTACCATATAAAATGGCGGCAGGTCCCGCGACCAAGGGAACTCCCGAGTCAACCTGGACGCACCCAATTTAAATTTGCGATGATAGATCCTCGAGGGCGACTATACATATAACGGGAGACCAGGCCTGGGCCCCCGGGGCCGCGACCTTTACCACAAATGTGTGTGTGTATGTGTGTCTGTGTGTCTGTGCGTGTATGTGTGTGTGTGTGGGTGGGGGGGGGGGCGTGCGTGCGTGCGTGCGTGTGTGTGTGTGCGTGTGCGTGTGCGTGTGCGTGTGCGTGTGCGTGTGCGCGTGTGTGTGTGTGTGTGTCTGTGTGTCTGTGTGTCTGTCTCTGTGTCTCTGTGTCTCTGTGTCTCTGTGTCTCTGTGTCTCTGTGTCTCTGTGTCTGTGTGTGTGTCTCTGTGTGTCTCTGTGTGTCTCTGTGTGTCTGTGTGTGTCTCTGTGTGTCTGTTTGTGTGTCTGTCTGTGTGTCTGTCTGTGTGTCTGTCTGTGTGTCTGTCTCTGTGTGTCTATCTCTCTGTGTCTGCCTCTGTGTGTCTGTCTCGGTGTGTCTGTCTCTGTGTGTCTGTCTCTCTGTGTCTGTCTCTGTGTGTCTGTCTCTGTGTGTCTGTCTCTGTGTGTCTGTCTCTGTGTGTCTGTCTCTGTGTGTCTGTCTCTGTCTCTGTGTGTCTGTCTCTGTGTGTCTGTCTCTGTGTGTCTCTGTGTGTCTGTCTCTGTGTGTCTGTCTCTGTGTGTCTGTCTCTGTGTGTCTGTCTCTGTGTGTCTGTCTCTGTGTGTCTGTCTCTGTGTGTCTGTCTCTGTGTGTCTGTCTCTGTGTGTCTGTCTCTGTGTGTCTGTCTCTGTGTGTCTGTCTCTGTGTGTCTGTCTCTGTGTGTCTGTCTCTGTGTGTCTGTCTCTGTGTGTCTGTCTCTGTGTGTCTGTCTCTGTGTGTCTGTCTCTGTGTGTCTGTCTCTGTGTGTCTGTCTCTGTGTGTCTGTCTCTGTGTGTCTGTCTCTGTGTGTCTTTCTCTGTGTGTCTGCCTCTGTGTGTCTGCCTCTGTGTGTCTGTCTCTGTGTGTCTGTCTCTGTGCGTCTGTCTCTGTGTGTCTGTCTCTGTGTGTCTGCCTCTGTGTGTCTGTCTCTGTGTGTCTGTCTGTGTGTGTGTCTGTCTCTGTGTCTGTCTCTGTGTCTGTGTGTGTGTCTGTGTCTGTGTGTGTGTGTCTGTGTCTGTGTGTGTGTCTGTGCGTGTGTCTGTGCGTGTGTCTGTGTGTGTGTCTGTGTGTGTGTGGCTGTGTGTGTGTCTGTGTGTTTGTGTGTCTGTGTGTGTGTGTCTGTGTGTGTCTGTGCCTGTGTGTGTGTGTCTGTCTCTGTGTGTGTCTGTGTGTGTCTGTGTGTGTGCGTCTGTGTGTGTGTGTGTGTCTGTGTGTGTGTCTGTGTGTGTGTCTGTGTGTGTCTGTGTTTCTGTGTGTCTGTGTGTGTGTCTGTCTGTGTGTGTGTCTGTGCGTGTGTTTGTCTGTATCTCTGTGTGTCTGTGTGTGTGTGTGTCTGTGTGTCTGTGTGTCTGTGTGTCTGTGTGTCTGTGTGTCTGTGTGTCTGTGTGTCTGTGTGCTGTGTGTGTCTGTGTGTGTATCTGTGTGTCTGTGTGTCTGTGTGTGTCTGTGTGTGTCTGTGTGTGCCTGTGTGTGTCTGTGTGTGTCTGTGTGTGTCTGTGTGTGTCGGTGTGTGTCTAAGTGTGTCTAAGTGTGTCTGTGTGTGTCTGTGTGTGTCTGTGTGTGTCTGTGTGCCTGTGTGCCTGTGTGCCTGTGTGCCTGTGTGCCTGTGTGTCTGTGTGTCTGTGTGTGTGTCTGTCTGTGTGTCTGTGTGTCTGTGTGTCTGTCTCTGTGTATCTGTCTGTGTGTCTGTCTGTGTGTCTGTCCGTGTGTCTCTGTGTGTGTCTGTCTGTGTGTCTGTGTGTGTCTGTCTGTGTGTCTGTCTCTGTGTGCCTGTCTCTGTGTGCCTGTCTCTGTGTGTCTGTCTCTGTGTGTCTGTCTCTGTGTGTCTGTCTCTGTGTGTCTGTGTGTCTCTGTGTGTCTGTCTCTGTGTGTCTGTCTCTGTGTGTCTGTCTCTGTGTGTCTGTCTCTGTGTGTCTGTCTCTGTGTGTGTCTGTCTCTGTGTGTCTGTCTCTGTGTGTCTGTCTCTGTGTGTCTGTCTCTGTGTGTCTGTCTCTGTGTGTCTGTCTCTGTGTGTCTGTCTGTGTGTGTGTGTGTCTGTCTGTGTGTCTGTCTCTGTGTCTGAGTGTGTGTGTGTCTGTGTCTGTGTGTGTGTGTGTCTGTGTCTGTGTGTGTGCCTGTGTGTGTGTCTGTGTCTGTCTGTGTGTGTGTGTGTGTGTCTGTGTGTGTGTCTGTGTGTGTGTGTCTGTGTGTCTGTGTGTCTGTGTGTGTGTCTGTGTGTGTGTCTGTCTGTGTGTGTGTTTGTCTGTCTCTGTGTGTGTTTCTGTGTGTGTGTCTGTGTGTGTGTGTCTGTGTGTGTGTCTGTGTGTGTGTCTGTGTGTGTCTGTGTGTGTGTCTGTGTGTGTGTGTCTGTGTGTGTGCCTGTCTGTGTGTCTGTGTGTCTGTGTGTGTGTGTCTGTGTGTGTGTCTGTCTGTGTGTGTGTTTGTCTGTCTCTGTGTGTGTCTGTGTGTGTGTGTCTGTGTGTGTGAGTGTGTCTGTGTGTCTGTGTGTCTGTGTGTCTGTGTGTCTGTGTGTCTGTGTGTCTGTGTGTCTGTGTGCCTGTGTGTCTGTGTGTCTGTGTGTCTGTGTGTCTGTGTGTCTGTGTGTCTGTGTCTGTGTGTGTGTCTGTATCTGTGTGTATCTGTGTGTGTCTGTGTGTGTCTGTGTGTGTCTGTGTGTGTCTGTGTGTGTCGGTGTGTGTCTGTGTGTGTCTGTGTGTGTCTGTGTGTGTCTGTGTGTGTCTGTGTGTGTCTGTGTGCCTGTGTGCCTGTGTGCCTGTGTGCCTGTGTGCCTATTTGCCTGTGTGCCTGTGTGCCTGTGTGCCTGTGTGTCTGTGTGTCTGTGTGTGTGTGTCTGTGTGTCTGTGTGTCTGTGTGTCTGTCTCTGTGTGTCTGTCTCTGTGTGTCTGTCTGTGTGTCTGTCTGTGTGTCTGTGTGTGTGTGTCTGTCTGTGTGTCTGTCTGTGTGTCTGTCTGTGTGTGTGTCTGTGTGCCTGTCTCTGTGTGTCTGTCTCTGTGTCTGTCTCTGTGTAACTGTGTCTGTGTGTCTGTCTCTGTGTGTCTGTCTCTGTGTGTCTGTGCCTGTGTGTCTGTCTCTGTGTGTCTGTCTCCGTGTTTCTGTCTCTGCGTGTCTCTGTGTGTCTGTCTCTGTGTGTCTGTCTCTGTGTGTCTGTCTCTGTGTGTCTGTCTCTGTGTCTGTCTCTGTGTGTCTGTCTCTGTGTGTCTGTCTCTGTGTGTCTGTCTCT